TCCTTCTTCCCAAGACCATCTGACGTATTTCAGCATTACTAATCCGGTTTTCCCATCAGACCTGACCAATGATCCGGAGACAGCGATGATCGAGCACTGACATCTTGCGTATGTCCTCTGCGCGTAGTGGCAAGGTCTCGGATCCATAAGGCAGTATGAATCGCACCACCGCAGTGTGAACCTTTCCCTTGACAGTCACGTCGGTGTCATGGGTGTCGGAGGTTGGCAAAAGCTGCCCTGACCTTTCCGATTCGAGAAATCTCATCTCCAATCAGTCCACCGGAACTTATACAGCTGCCCAAGCAAACAAATTTATCTACCACGTCGATTGACTCGCCTGCAAGCTTGAGGTGTGGGTCTGATCCCAGCCACTCTTGTAGCAGCACTTTACTCTTTGCAAGTGTGAAGCGCATGCCAAACCGTGCGGCAGAGCTATTTAGGTTATTTAAAATCGTTTGCATTTGGGAAGTACTGGAACCAGGGAGAGCAATATGGTCTACATACTCAATGTCTGTGAGGAAACGCCCCTGAAGCATTTCGATTTTCGGGATTTCAGAGAAATTGAAATCTCGGAGAAATTTCAATCGGCACATCAATAGCAAAGCTGAAGAGGAAAGGGGAAAGAGAACAGCCTTGTCTTACACCACTGGACGTGGTGAGCTCACGCGAGAGCTTCCCGTATACTCGTTCGCGCCCACAGGAGTTCGCAAACAGTGTTCTCAAAGGGAAGAGGAATTTAAAAGGAACCTCTTTGATCGCTACACACTGCCAAAGTGCTGGCGATCGACAGAATTAAGAGCAACTTTCAAATCCAGGAAACCGACCATGGAACGCCTGAAGGAGTGGCGCTACTCAAGGATTTATCTTAAGGTAAAGATATGTTCGATGCATTTTTGATCAGAGCGAAACCCAGCTTGATTCTCACGGATCTGCCTCCCGATGATCCAACCTACTCGAAATAATACCAGAGAGCACTTAATGTGCGACAGATACCAGGCTGATACCACGATGGTTTTCACATGACGTTCTTGCTCCCTTTTTGAAAACTGATGGCGGTATTCTGTTTTCGTTCCAAATTTTCTGCTGTATGGTTGTCAGGCTGTTCACCATGACCTCATTACCTTCTTTGAAGAGCTCGGAGTGTAGATCAGGTGCCTTATCGCGCTTGAAGATTGAAATCTTACGCTGGATTTCCATTACCGATGATGGGTTTGTGTCAATGTTCCATTCGGGCCCGTTGGTTTTTTTTCAGTGATTGTATTGTAGACCAGGGGTCGAGATGGCTCAAGTGGTTAGAGCGCGAATTTACTGACCGGAAGGTCCGTGGTTCGAGCTCGACCTCTGCCTCTCGACTTCCCCTGTCTAGGCTTGGGCAACGTGGCAGTAACCAAGCCCACTGCTCAAGACGGCGATTGAGAGAGTGAATTGCTGTTTCGTCTTTTTCGCATATCGTCACAGTGACACCTGCCTCCTTTTGATCCGTTGATCGGATCATTTGTCCACTGAGTCCACCGATGTCCCCAACCCACTCTCACCACGCAAGCGAACGTCGCTGGTTCATCTGACTGTCAGTTATCTGATGGATGGGCCTTATGCACCCAGCTGCCTTATAGGTGGCTCAGTGGTTAGAGCTCGGATTTACTGATCCGAAGGTCCATAATTCGAGCCCGACCTCTACCTCTCGACTTCGCCTCTCTAGGTTTGGGCAACCTGGCAGTATCCCAGCCCTCGTGCAACCTTTGGGTGACATGGCAGCTAGGCACCGAAAGGGTGTGCAGCTGAATATCGACTATCTAGCTGCCTATTAACAATAAACAAAACCTTTCGAAATCCACGAGTTTCTTAGGAGGTTTTAACCTCCGTACTCTATGTCGTCGGCAAAGATGCAGTGCTCACTGAAACCTTGTGCTCCCTCAAATACTGACGTATGCTGTCTCCGAAAGACGCACACAAGACCAGAATGCCAAGGACGAACTAAGGTCTTTCACAATTCTCCCCTTGTTTGTCCGGTGATCCAGAAGTGATGACTCGTGGAACGCATGGCGTGTGAGTTGCACTCAGTCTCAGAGTTGAACGTGCTTTACTGGATTGGGTCTCGGTAAATAGTTGTCTTTGCGCCGTCCTGTTAATCAATTCAGTTCTCGACATAAAAGCGGCTCATGCCCCAATACACTTCAGTTCTGATGCGGAGATGGATACTTTCTATTGCGGGTTGTCCAGGCTTATTCGTGATATGAATGCTCAAGTAGGTCGTCTGAGCTCTTTGGGGGGTCAACTCGGAATCGATGCTCGTCGCACAGATGGGAGGGCGACTCCGATTGTGTACTGGTCATGAACTGTTCCTAACCGCTACAGTGTTTGAGCACTGACGTTCACATCGCCTAACCTGGCGGCCACCAATTGGATCACGTGGCCACTAGCCATAGGTGAAGAGTTGCAGTTCAAGACTGCCATTTTTCTGGGGCACAATTTTTAATTCTCTTCACATCGTGATATTTGGACGCATGACACCGTATCCCCTCAGGCCCTCATAAGTCACCGAGAAGCATGCCAATCCACCGTCTTCGAAGAACTACTATAGCTCAACAGGATTGACCTGAATGGCCCAGCAACTCCACAGTAAGCCAATACTGTGGTGGCAGTGAACATGTGGATGAAGCGTGGCAAAATGTGAAAGGAGCTATGTCAGTGGCGTTCAGTGCTGTCTGTCCAACTTCTCCAATTCGACCACAAGACCACTGAATGTCGTCGAGGTCGATATTCATGATTGATGCCAGGAAATCGATACTAGCAGGTTCATGAGTGTGCCAGGAAATCGATACTAGCAGGTAGCGAGTACGACGGCGAACGCAAATCCCTCGAGCGCCAGATAGTGAACAGTCCAATGAAAGACCGAGAGCCATAGTGGACGTCGAAAGCTGAGGCGATGGAGAAGGCTTTTGCTACGGGAAACAGCCATGTTATGTATCAAATGATACAATTGACTGTCCCTAAGAAAGCAATGGTCAGCGAAACGTTAAGTGAAAAAGCGGCTCATTAATTTGCAAAACCGTCGACTAGAAAGATGGGCCGAACACTTCGAAGAACGGGTTAGCCGATCTCCTGCAACACAGCCTGTGGAGATAATGCATACGGGCGAGTGAAATGAAAACCTTGATCGCCCTTCGGAAGGAGAAATAAGATACAAAATAGGCCCACTGAAACGTGAGAAGGCACTAGGACTGGACGGTCTGTATCCATCCCTCTTCAAAGAAGGCGGAGAACCCCTGGTGACCCATCCGACAAGGCTTATTGGTGCGATGTGGGACAAGGTGGAAGTGCCTGCAGAATGGGGCATGTCGACAGTTGTCCTTATCTTCAAAACGGGTACGCGGACGTTCTGTGAAAACCATCGTGGCATCAGCCTGTTTGCTATGACATCGAAGGTGCTTTCTGGTCTTGTCCTTCGACAGTTGACTGGACACAAGAGGAGGCAGACCTGCGAAAACCAAACTGGGTTTGTAGGTATCCTTTCACCCACATACTTGACTGTTCAGCTCAGTTTCCTACTAGATCACGAGACTAGCCTTTTTTTCTACACTCAAACCACGTCACACAAAGGTGACTCGTCTGACATTGACTGTCTGTACCGTCTAGTAAACGCAGCAACAACTCGTGCTCACACTCCCATATGCACATATCGGAATATCGAGCGCAGGGAGTAGGAAGTCAACGTTTTGCAACTCACCACTGTCGACCATACTTATTATTATTATTATTATTATTATTATTATTATTATTATTATTATTATTATTATTATTATTATTATTATTATTATTATTATTATTATTATTATTGTACCTTCTGAACTATATTATGGCTCTCATCAATTGTGCACTAATGGGTTCCGTCCTGCAAGGGGAAGATCACATCTTCACCCTCCAACAGATTCTAGAACAGCGACACTGCTTCCAGAAACTTACAATGGTTGTTTCTTGATCTGAAAGCTGCCTTTTAATCTGTGGACCGTCAGGCACTATGGAGCAAGAGTGTCCCCCACAAATTCTTGACCCTCCCTAAGGCGCTGTACGCCAACTCTCGCGGTCGTTTGTAAGTCTGTGAGGAGCTGTTGCCTGATTATGATGGTTCGAAGCCGACTTATGCATCTCTACTTTTGTCTAGGGCTTAGGCAACCTTTCTGAATCCAAACCCTCCTGCATCTGGTAGCGTGGCAGTTTAGCACCGGAAGGGTGTTACAACCAAAGACTATCTTCCTTCCATTTGGATATTTGAACAAGTATTTCATGTGGCGCGGCGACGCATCAGCGGCGATATCGATGGTAACATTGTCATCTTTGCCGGCGTTTGCTATGGCCTGCTTAGGCTAGGAGAGTAGTATAGGCGGAATACAGGTGCCTCTTTACTTAGTCTTCATCGGGCGAATTTACTGTTCTGGGTTTTTTGCAATATAGTCACTGTGACCTCATATCACTTGATAAAGACATCCGTCACGTGCGTTACATCCCTTTGCCTGGGTCAGGAACGGTATCAAAACTAGGCGAGATCCCACCATGAAGGTGTTTATTGGTCAACATTGTGCGTAGTTGATGGCGCAGAACAGGACGCGTAGGAAACAACGGATCAATCGAGGTGCTGAAGCGGCCTAGTCTTGCTGATTAATCGCTTGTGGGATAGGCTTTTCGGCCGTAGCAGCCCTCTACTATGAGCGGTAAAGTTGTTTCGGTGCGGAATTCCGCCAACCATTTACCTCTTGAAGCTCGTTGACGCACCTGCGAAGTCAGTGGTTCTTTTGCGGTGACCTCACCGGCTTGCAAATCCCGTCTGTTCAGCGTTGTCATTATTTGTCCTCATACTGGGCCTCCTGAAAAACAGCTGATGGATTTTTCGCAATGCTTCCAGATAAAAAATTTCGGAAGCACCTCTAGACTCGACCTACTCGCTCCGATTAATAGGATCTGCTCATTTGTCGTTCGGATTTTGTGTGCTAGATCCACCTGTCTCAGGCAACATGTATCTCATAGGGCACAACTGCACCGACGAAGGATGTGTCCTGGGGTGTCTGCCGGTGTAGTCGCGAAACAGCACTCTGTCGTTTCGTGAAGGAGAGCGCGGTTGTACCATGATGCCGGTTGGACTGTTCTTTCATTGTCTTGCTGCTGGTTAGTGTCGCGCGGTGTTCAGAGCTTGGGAGCAGTGCCTCTGCTGGTGACACTATCAGGTGAACTGGAGTTTGGCTTCGTTCGATATGCCAGCAGGATAAATCGGAAAATTTCTTCTGTCTACTTTGAATTTCTAAAGTGTACTCTTCATGGTGTCAGCGAAGCATTCTGTCTCTCTGTTCGACTGTGAGTAAAACGGCAGCGAACGTACATGAGTTACACCATACCCCCGACAAAACTCTGCGGAGGTGAATGATGTGAACTGACTGCCTTTGTCCTCTAACTTCCTAAAGCCGCCGATAGACGTCGGAACTCTTGGATTTTAATGGCAGTGGGACGATTTCTGACTACGTGCTATAGACGTCGACTAAAACCCAAAAATGTTGACCACCAACTGCACCTGCGTAGTCGATATATTGACGGGACCAGGTTTCCGTCGGTTGTGTCCATGACCGCAGGCGATTTAGGTGCTTCACCACACTGCATGCAAGTTAGAGACATCCTACCCACATTGTTGAAAGATGGGGCTGAAGTCCCCAGTCAGCGCTTGTCTCATCTGTTTGCTTGTATTTGGGAAAAGGAGTCTGTCCCAGACAACTGGAGAGAGTCGGTGATAATGCCAATTTTGAAAAAAAAACGGCTCGTGGTGAGCGGTATCCACAATTAGAAAGAAAGCGAGGTTTCAGTTGTGCGACGTGTACTTCCACTGAAGTATGTGTCCAGCACCAGAAGCTGTTTTGATTGGAATATGCGTTGCGTATGCCGAAGAGAGTGCTGTTTTGTCTATAGGTGTAGGCACCTCGGAGTGATTATAGTAAAGTGGAACTAAGTCCCTTCGGCATCCACCTTTATTCTTTCCTTTACAATGAAGCTTTCAAACAATGGTTGTATGGCTGTGAAGCATCAGTGTGGGCGCTGGTGCTTATGATGGTCATGAATTGAATGTGGGCACCTGGGACATT